TGAGAACCTATTTTTATTATCTCCAGTGTCAAGTCCTGTATAGTGGCAAACAGACGTAAGAACGGAGCAAATAGACGTAATTCCACGTACTTTTGAGGTCGGTTTTTTTAGTACTCTGTACTGAGATTATAAACTTCAAACTGCCATATCTCGAAAGTGACTGGATGTGCATTGGATCCTGTTTGTTTACCTACGTCCAATGCTCGACTTGTATTTGGATTTTTTTTTATTCGAGTTGAGGTAGATTCAACTCGTAAGATTTAAATTCAACTCCAATTTCCTTTTGTTGATTGTATAAAAAATGATATTTTTAAGAAAGTTTTATAACCCAGTTAGATACCTTTGCAGCTACCAGCCTTGGCGAGAGATGTCGCTATTCACTGTATTTTAAATTTTTAATGAATTGATATTAATAGGAAATGAAACTATACATAGGTTAGGTTAGGTTAGGTTAGGTTAGCGATTTAAATCCGGAAAAATAGTTTCTTTTCCTATGTGTAAGAATCGCGAAAACCTAAGAACTCGAATTGATATTAATTTATTATTGTGAAATTACTCCACTAGCTTGTTATAATTATTGATACAAAGATCGAACACTCAGAAAAAATTCCTTCGATCCGGCCAGATTCGAACCGACGTCTTCTAGCATACCGTGCCAGACGCTATATCAACTAAGCCGCGGACCTCACGAATCTTTCTATGTGCTTGTTGTAGTGTCTTTGTATTTCGGATTGAAGGATTTTTTCTGAGTGGAGTAATTTCACAAAAATAATTGAATATCAATTTAATAAAAATTAAAAATACAGTGAATAGCGACATCTATCATCAGGGCTGGTGATGATATTTTTAACTTTCACAGCTACGATACCTGACGAAAAGCTTATTGTAAGCGCGAGTCTGGATCGACACCTGAGAATTCATAAATATGACTCTAAGGAACTTGTTTACAAGGTCAGTGTTATCTTTAAGTTGTTCTTACAAAGGACTGTAAATGATATATAGTCAAAAACACAGAACAATATATACAAAACTGGTTAGTTAGCGTCTGATGCGTGCCAACTATAGGTTTGCCGTCTACTAAGACGCGGGTAAGTGAGAAATGGTCAAATCGACTCATCCGAAGAACAGAGTCCGATGTGATTATATAGCGAAAAGTGAATAAGTACGTTACGAGAACAATTTCGTTATTCAAACTAAGGCCTATGTAAAGGTATATTGAGAGTTTATATATCTTACTTCGTTTCGGAAATATAAAATCGAACAAAGGTCGATTTGACATCCACAGCGAAGAAGAACGAATGAAATGTGCTATGTCCTGAGAACAAGTAGTCTTACACATAGACCTTTGTTCTACGGATGAGTCGAAATATCCGTTTTATACAGCAAAAGATAGAGCACAAAATTCTCTTTTGAAAACAGTTATTATTAGTTGTATTCGACTTATCGGAACTTATCCCAACGATGCATAACTGAAGCAGAGAACAAATAAGTAATGAGAACGGACACTCTCCGCCCCTCCCTAGTTTTAGATACCGCACCGCACCCCGCACATTGACGGTCACATTGACTGAACGAGAACAAGGCTGTCGGCGAGCCGTTTTCGCGCTAAGACGGCTTTGATATTTGAATATAGTTTTCATTTATTAATTACGAAATTTGTACATTAATATGTAACATCATTTTAAGTTACTATTTAGAATGGTCGTGAATTGTGCTGTGTACGGCTGTTTATAATCATCTAAACGGGATAAAGAGAGGGGTTTCTTTCGTTTTTTGAAAGATGAAACGTAGTAAGTAAATAAACTTATGTCTGAGACTCGTTCAGTTATTGTTTTCTTTAGTGCAGAGTAATATATAATACAGATTTATTGTATCAATATAATAAGATGCCATAACTTCGTGAGCTTAGCAAGGGTTCTCGAATTTTCAATTTTTATTGGCGATAAATATTACGTAGTGAATATACCTAATTATTAACTAGGTAATGATAAAGTTGGACACGCAATTTCAAAAGTACTTTGGACAGGAACCCTGTCCAAAGTGCTTTTGAAATAATAAATAAATCTTCAATATTATATTAAAATAAAATAAATATTAAAATAAATCTTAAATAAATAAATCTTCAATATTATTCTAGTTAGTTAATCAATGAAAAATATAATATTATATCGATATAAATACTAAATCAACATGTATAATTATGATTGTATAACAGAATTATAGATAACAGATTCGCGTTAGAATTTTCGCTATGTTGCCGCTCTGACCCTAACCCTAACCCTGCCACTTCACGCACACATTTGCGCGTGTGCAGAAGACGCCTTGCTGTATGTAGTAGTAGTAGTAGGTAAATAATCTTCGACAGTTGTATGGAGTGTCCGGGGTGTGGCTAAAGTAACATTAAACAATTTCAATATTCTAAAACTGGGTTATGGTTTTTTATGATCGTCTCCAAAAATTATTTTGTCACTTAACCGCGGTTTGGTTGGCGAACGGCTGAGGTTTCGGAAAACCTATCTGAGCTCCGCCATTTTCGCTTTGTATGGTATGGTACAAATAATAAAAGAGTGCAAAGCGTGTGTGCTGTGTTGCTAAGGAATTAGTGATCCACTCAGCTTTCTGTCGTCTCACTTAAATATAATTGTCAGTTAGACCACCTACACGTATTATTCTAACTGGTTGAACAGAACAGTGGATCAAAAAGTAGTTGTTTTTTGTCCCACTTCACACAATAAATGTTGAATTCAATTACAAAGTTTTATTATGCAAACTCACTGTTTATTATTATTAGAATCCATTATGAGAACCTAATATTTATTATGAGACTGAAAAGCTCCGAAGTTAGGACCATAGAATATAGTATTATGTTAATATTTAGGAATGAGAATGGATAACTGAAAGTTTGAAATTTTACAGCAATACTTAACCTCAAAACTAACTCGTATTCTAACGCAAACGGTGACTTCCACCCCTCTCCGCTCCCCACCGTCACCTCTGCCACTGCAAGACACAGAGCTCAAGCAAGAAGACGACATGGATGAGCTGTTCGATAATATGGAAACTGTGGGCGATAGGTACCTTATTTATGTCATTAACACAAATAGAAATTAAAACCTGATACAGTACACTTAACTACAGGTTAAGCTATACAAACTGTAATTTGTTTACCTACAAATTCGAACGCTATATCGAATAACGCTAGGTACAGTTTTCAAGAAAGAATTTTAACAAGTTCTATATCTTTAAATGTCCACTAGAAAAAAATTACAAAGAAAAGCAAACTACAATGTTGGTGTTACAATTAGCAAATTACTTTCACCAGAAGCTTATTAAAAATCCGTAATTTCTGCCAAGAGGCGCGCCCAACAATATCAATACCGTGTAGTAAAGAAATATTAATAAAACTGGCAGAATACTTTTGCTTCTCATAATCTTGTTTCGCATAATATCATTTCTCAACAGTTGAAACTATTTAAAGGGCAGACCTATTTGAATAAATATTAAAATATAATACGTGCGCGTAGTGGCCAGTGAAACGCCTTATAAATCGTCTAAAATTTCGCAGACATTTTGTCGCGTAATTCCCGCTATTATACTTGACCCTAACTTAAAATTTTGACATTTCAGAGAAAAACCGAAAAAGAAGAAAACAGAAATAGAAGAACCAGAAATAAAGAAAATAAAACCATCAATAGAAGGTAGCACAGAAGCCGTGCAAGACAAAAACGAAGCAATTGCAAAGCTTCTCCGCAGCACGGAGAAGCAGAAGCGTCGTCTCGAGAAGCGGAAGAAAGAGAAGCGTGCCAAGAGCGTGTTTCATAATGCTTAGAAGAAATAAATGTTACGAATTTAAAATTTCACTTTTATTTCCAACTTAAGCGCTGCGAGGTTCTCCTTGCTTTAGACTCTATACAACCACAAATGGCTTTGGTAATTATTCCGCTAACAATGAAATTGTTGACCCAATCACATTGGAAAAAATATATATTATATATATATAAATTTGAGGATATCGACGCCGGAACTGATCTTGTACCTCGAAAAATTGGACTTTACAACAGGGCCGAAAAACTATTTCAAAAAATTATTTCTCTTTGATTTGAAATAGTAGAAAGTCGATTTTAAAGTATGATATACGGAACAGTCATCAGATAACATTGACGAAATTATTCTAAAATTGGTTTAACATAGGTTTATACTAGCTACAGCAATTGCGTTTTCAAAACCAAGCAGCAATTTTGCTGTATATCGAAATTGTAACATGTGGCGCAATAAAATACCACACAACTTTCAAGAAATGATTTTCTTGTAACTAATATGGAGTCCTATATGTTGGTCCGTTCTACTGAAGTATCTAATGTAGTTTTTAGATATAGAGTATATACACTTGTTTTCACGATAGAAAAAAAACAAATTTACTTCGAAATTTTACAAGAAAACCGCTGTATTCAATAAGTACTTCAAATACATATATATACCAATGATTTTTTTTATATATCAACGGAAGTAAATAAAACTCGTATAGTATACGATATACATGTTCTCAAATGCTTTGATAAAAGCCAGTGGCCCTGCCCCTCGACCCAAGCAAAATTAACCGAATTAGTACGGAAAAAAAATTTGAATTCAAGCCGAGGGTTTTTGTGTTCATTTTTAACTGCCTCCGTGGCCGAACGGTTACCATGCCGGACTGCCACGCAGAGGTCCCAGGTTCGATTCCCGGGCTGGGAGAAATGTTTGTATGACCTACATTTATTTCTCTCGTGAGTTTGGGTGTAATTTGTGGTTGTCTATATGTGTGTCCATGGCACCCGCGACACAGGGTTTCCCTAGTGCGGGGCTATGTTGAGTGTGTGCGTTATTTATTTATTTATTTATTTATTTTAACCGACTTCGAAAAGGAGGAGGTTCTCAATTTGACTGTATGTTACACCAGTATAGTTCTGTGAACTAAACTAGTGGAAATAATCGTACGTTGCGCGATTAAAACGACAATTCGTCGCTTAGCAAACAACACCTCGCAAGTAATTTGAAGTAATTTTAAAGGTGAATTAAAAAACTGCACTTACGAGTATATCGCACTCCTCGTGGAAGAACACGACAAACATGTTTATTACTCTATTAGATACAGAAAAATTTAACTGACGTCCTCTCCAATTCTTGTAACTCTGTCTACAATATTAGTCGACGGAGTCTCCATTCGATATAGAAAAATACTTTTCTATATCGAATGGAGCAATAAATGTTTTTGACGTAACTCCATTTATGCCATTCTTCCATGAAGGGTGCGATATCATTGCATACAAGATTTTCTAATCTATTGCTGGTAATAAATGCTCTATGGACGCATAATTGTATATGAGTGATTGGTTCTAAAATTTTTATCGATATGCACGTTTTATTTGGACTTAGTATTCAAAAGTAAAAATTATATATTAAATCTATGGATGAAACGGATAGTGATTTGGCCGGATACCGGATATCCGACGAGCATCTAGGCCGCATAGTCGGATATCCGGCCGCCGGATATCTGACCCACTGCCGTAAAAATGTCGTGACCGGTTTACAGCGCTAATCGCCGTGATTGATTGATTAGTGAATAATTGCACTTTCACATTGACGATTTGATTTGTTGTGGTCACTTGGTTTTTATAAAAACGATTAATTCATTCGATAATACAAACAAATACATAACGGAAAAATGTTAACAGTAAAAAAAGTCGCAAAGTTGGAAAGCAGAAAAACTGGTCTTTATCCACCATAATTTGCCTTTATTGAAATTAGAGTAAACTAAATTTATAGATAACGTTATCCTATAACGTCATAGTTCTTTCAGTTACAAGTAATAAACAGATTATTACCGATCGTGTAGTTGTTGTATATTCTATTACTATCCATCTTTAATCAATAAATCAATTTATTTGGCGTACTGATTATGAATTATTCTCAGTTTCAAACATGCGGTATCCGGCCGGACATTGTTCTTCTATCCGGTATCCGGCTGGATAGTAAAAATAGGCCGTATTACCGGATAACCGTTTCATCTCTAGGTAAAATCGCCATTATTCGACTAGAGCGGTGTTGTTTGTTAAGCGACGATTTGTGAACCTATTTCGCCGATTCATTTTTTGATGGAAAGGTACCCACCTCAGTAGTGGGCCTATTCAAAGTTTAAGAAAATATTCCATTTTCATTTCGTTCGCAGTGGCGCGCGGGTATATCTATTGGATCGCTCCGCGCGTACCTTTCACAGTGCTTGATCTAGCATCTAGCGTCTGTTTGCTATTTCGAAGTGTGGGTATACCCGCTTGTAGCCGCTTCGGCACTGTGAAAGAAAAAACGCCAAGACCCACGCGCCCGCGCCTGCACTCGAATGAGCCCTGTGGTGGCGGATTAAGGGATGAATCCGACTTATTGGATTTCTTCCAATTTCCGTTACCCGATTTCATAAAAAGTTGGCAAATAGATGTAATTCCACAAGCTTTTGAGGTCAGTTTTTTTAAAAGTTATAATGATTGATTAACTAAATTCGTTACTTGCATTTAAATACCCTTATCCGGAACATACTCTTTTTATTTATGATACGTGACGGCACGAATAAGTCGTGCACCCGGTGGTAAGCGACACCCCTGTTCGTAACAGATAATTTTGCCGCGTAATTTGAGTGAATTCGTACTTAAAGATTGTACGAAATTAATTCCATATAAATAGATAAAATGTTTAATTGAAAAATTATTGATTTCCATAGTCTTAAGGTATATAACCAGAAATAGAGACGAAATGCCATTTAATTTGTATGAAAACTATTTTGCCAAATCATTACGGTGACAACTGCGCTCCGATTGGCCAACCTGAATTTGAAACAATTGACGGGTGTCGTCAATTGTTTCACTTCAAATCGACTATTTTAACTTGAACTTCGCTATAATGGACGTAAATTGACAAATGTGATTCCGTTTGTTTTGTAATTAGATGTTTGGCTGATATTATTTTTATTACAATAAGTACAGAATATTTTTGGAATATACGGAGACGTACACACAGGTCAGTAGTTGGCGCTGTACTATTTCAGCTTTCTAATTTGTGATTTTGGCGCAAACGAGAGTTGATATTTAAAAGTGATATAAGACCCATTTGTCTGATGAGTTCCAAGGGATGAATGGCCCTTATTTCGTATCTATTTCTGGTTATATACTCGATGATTTTAAAATACTAACAACCCCGCAGGCTATATTACTAACATCATAAACAATAACTTCGACTCATCCGTAGAACAAAGATGTATGTGCAAGACTACTTATTCTCAGGACATAGTTCATTTCTTTCGTTCTTCTTCGCTGTGGATTTCAGATCGACCGTTGTTCGATTTTATATTTCCGAAACGAAATAAGATATATGAATTCTCAAAACACCTAAGTTTGAATAACGAAATTATTCTCGTAACGTAGCTATTCTCTTTTCGCTGTATAATAACATCGGACTCTGTTCTTCGGATGAGTCGTTTTGTTCCATGACTTACAAAACATAATACATTTACCAAAAATAAGCTTTTAAGTTTGTGTTGGTACTATCTGACACTTTTCAGATCTGTATTTGGTAGTAACATATTTCATATTAAAGTGGGATCAATTGATATCCACGGCCCATTTACATAATAAAAAACTACTCCTTGTAGACATTTATTTACTCATTTATCGGTTATCCTTATTATAAGTACAACACAAGTTGTTCTTAGTAGTCTCCTAATTATCTCTCCGGTTCTCCTTTCCGTCGTTCTGGGCAGCGCAGTCTCCCAGCATAGCCCACAGGCGTGCTTCGGCTTCGGCGGCGGGTAGCTCCAATGGCGTCAGAGTTCTGTTCCGTTCACATTTTATATCTGCGTGAACAGTTAAGGAACAAATACAATAAAAAAAGTTTCATCCAAAGTAGCTAGTCAAATAACCCCGTGTTTTGTCTTTGTCCATAGGATGGTGCAACCGATCATCGTCGTTTGAGTGAATCTTGATAAACATACCGTGTATCTTTCAATCCGGACACTGGCAGAATTGTCCTCAGTAGGACAGAAGCCAAATATCCAAAAAAAAAACAAAAAAAAAATTTGACATTTAGTCGTAGAAAGTCTATTGAAAGCACTGTGAAAATTTTAGCAGAATGCGTATGACTTGTCGTTTAGAGTCGATTTAAGTTCCATTCATATACCAGAACACGCTTTAACGACATTTGGATCGAACGACTTTAAAATTGACCTCGTTGACGTTCAGTCACACGTGAATACGAAAAAGCCGTTCAACGACAAAATCGCTACGATATCGCAACGGTTTGATTACGTGAATCACCCAGTGACACGTCTGTCCAGAGCTCATGCAGTGCCACTCAGAGCTTTAAATTGCAAAGATCTGAGGGGCACTACCGCTGCACACGTCACCCTGAGACATAAATTGACAAGTCCCATGTGCCTGTAATTTCACCAGCACCCTTACCCTTCTAAACCGAAACATAGTAATGGTCACATTACTGCCTGACGGCAGAAATAGGTAAGGTGGCATTGCTTCCCTGGAGAATCTATGCTACGATATAAAAGGATACATCCTTTGACGACGTCCGGGGGCGCGCTATAGTCGAATCGTATACCAGTCAGCATCTTGCCAATCTCTACCATTTCCCTGAAAAATAACACAAACAAATGTAATATGAAATGTAAATTCAAAGAGTTCAGAACTCCTGAATGAGGTTTTGTTACAGAGCGCCATCTCGTTCTCGTATTAAAAGTATTTCTAAATACTAAATACTTTTAATAATTATTAATACAAAGATCGAACACTCAGAAAAAATTCCTTCGATCCGGTCGGATTCGAACCGATGTCTTCTTGCATACTGCGCCAGACGCTATACCAACTAAGCCACGGAACGAACCAACGGACCTCACGAATTTTTCTATGTGCTTGCGTCGTGTCTTTGTACTTGGTCTTTCAACGACTTTTTAGTCGTAGCGCCATCTATGAGAAATCTATGACAGATTTATCACCCAGTTAGTACCTTTACAGCTACCAGCTACCAGGCGAGAGATGTCGCTATTCACTGTATTCATTAAATTTTTATTGAATTGATATTCAATTATTTTTTGTGAAATTACCCCACTAGTTTGTTATAATTATTAATACAAAGATCGAACACTCAGAAAAAACACTCAGAAAAAATTCCTTCGATCCGGTCGGGTTCGAACCGACGTCTTCTTGCATACCGTGCCAGACGCTATACGCTATATAATATTTTAGACATGATTCACAGGTGAAAATTAAAATTGATTTGGCTCATATTCAACTTACGATTGAATAGTAAGCCTCAATATTTGACTGATAAATTGAACTGGAATGATAGGGGGAAGAGCAACACTCGACAAATTGTATATCCAATGTTACAAATGCGGTTTCGCCCATATCTGACGTCATTCAGAGGCAGCTTCCGCTTTGCAGTCAAGACGGCTGAGTCTTTTTATACATTCAAACGAAAGTTCAAAGAATGGCTTATTTTGCAACAAAGTCGTCATGTTCCTGGTCGGTTGTGGAATAGTAATCCCTATAGTCTGATAACAGTCATTTGTACCCTTTGTCGTCCTGATTAGATTTGTTTGTTTTTGCTTGATGTGTGCATTATTTTTAATTAGCTGAAATATCATTAAATAAATAAATAAATAATAAATAACGCACACACTCAACATAGCCCCGCACTAGGGAAACCCTGTGTCGCAGGTGCCATGGACATACACATAGACAACCACAAATTACACACAAACTCACGAGAGAAATAAACGTAGGCCATACAAATATTTCTCCCGTCCCGGGAATCGAACCTGGGACCTCTGCGTGGCAGTCCGGTATGGCAACCGTTCGGCCACGGAGGCAGTTATTAAACTATTTCAATATTCTAAAACTGGATTATAGTTTTTTATGACGTTTTAGTTAACGGACGGCAGAATATTCGACCAAATTAAAATACTGCATCCATGGCCGAATGGTCACAATGCCGGACTGCCACGCAGAGATCCCAGGTTCAATTCCCAGCCAGAGAGAAATATTTGTTTGGCCTACATTTATTTCCCTCGTGAGTTTGGGTGCAATTTGTGGTTGGCTATGTGTGTGTCCATGGCACCCGCGACACAGGGTTTCCATAGTGCGGGGCTATGATGAGTGTATGCGTTATACTATTATTTATTTTACTATTATTCTACAGTAATTGTTTCGAAGGAAGAACGAGAGCACGGGGCCTGACCCGGTCAATGGATGTTTGTGTACCAAAGTCAAAGTCAAAGATTATTTATTCCATAGGTAAAATAAATTTACACTTGAAATCGTCACATTTAAGCTACTGCTCGTTCACTACCCTGACCTCCCTGAGAAGAACGAGCAAGAAACTCTAGGGATTGCTCTTTTCAAATAAACTTAAATGCTATGGAATACACTTTGAATCAAATTTGTGTGGATTCTGGAGCCATGTCGTCTTTCCATACATCTTTATCTAACACGTAGTCTTCAATTTTGTAATATGATTTTTCGATCAAAATATTTATATTAACCAAACCACATGACCCTTAAATTATGCAGTACTAAACCAGTTTTTATTTTATGTAAAGAAAAATGCGGAAAATGTACAAGGTTACATATAACAGGGCAATAAAAATGTCATAGTCGTACTTTTAACCGACTTTTAAAAAAGGAGGAGGTTCTCAATTCGCCTTTTTTTGTGAGTATGTCATGCAAGAACACATACGTCTCCTGAGACGAGTGGCTGCTGACTAAAGGTCTTGAGCATTCAAACGCCCTGATAGCCTACAGTGCCAAACACTGTAGGGAAGCTCATTCACTTGACAGCAATGGCATCAGAATACTGACTAGAGCCTTCACAGGGCATTGTAGCTTGAACAAGCACATGTTAAATATAGAGCAGATTCTGTCACTGAAACTCCTGTGCATCTCCTCACCCATTATTGCGCTCTAATGGGCGTACGAAGTTCCACACTGGGTAGGCACAGGCCACCCAGAGCACATAAAAACTATCGAACCAGGAAAGTCTTTAATGCTGTTGACCTTGACTCAGAACTGCAATTAGTGGTGATCACAGTAGATCAGTAAATGAGTGATGAGGGGGTCACAGGCCCCGAATGAAGCCACCCTAATAATAATAAATAGGTAGACATGGAACATGGTTGTGGTGATGCTGACCTCTTTTATCGTCATCACCTTTATATGACCCTCCTTAATGGTTCTGGTCACATACTGCGTATTATTCCACTGAAGAATATAGTTAACTGCCTCCGTGGCCGAACGGTTACCATGCCGGACTGCCACGCAGAGGTCCTAGGTTCGATTCCCGGGCCGGGAGAAATATAGTATGGCCTACATTTATTTCTCTCGTGAGTTTGGGTGTAATTTGTGTTTGTCTATGTATGTGTCCATGGCACCCGCGACACAGGGTTTCCCTAGTGCGGGGCTATGTTGAGTGTGGCGTTAGTGACATGGTCTTGTAATATATGTTGTAATTTATAGATTATTAGGTATAGATATTATTTTACAGAAATGAATAAATTACATAAACTTTATGCATACAATCATTATATTGACATAATTATTATTATATTATTTAATATGTTCCTATATTATTTCACATAACTACAATGACTATGTTAAAATTACGTAGTACAAAACTTGTACTGGATATTTGTAATTTTTTTAAATGTAACATTTATTACTATTCGTAACGATTCTTGTAATACAATATATTGTATATAATAATGTAAAGTTTACAAGATAATAAAATAAATCTAAAATCTAAATCTACTTTTAAAATTTTGAAGCGTTCTCGAGTGCCCTTTTTCATTGGTTTTTTTCTTACATAAGTTTGTTTCATCACTCCCATCAATCATTCTCAAAACAAGACAACTTGTCCACATATCGTCACACTCATTCAATTCAAAACTTCACGTTATTTACTATTAAATCATACCGGACCGAGCCCTTCCTCTCGCTAGGGCCAAGTCATTTGCCAGAAGGTAATCAATACTAACTTTGCATTTTCTAGCCGCTGTTGATCGCTGTCAGAAATTGTAAGTCCGGATGAAAACTTTAAGCAGATCTTCTCTATTCCATCGTTGCGTTTCGATAGCTCGGCTAGCCTGGATTTTAGTTCTGCCTGTGACAATGAAAATAAATTACACTGTGATGGTGTGTTTTTATACACGCCGCCTTCAGCAGACTACCGAAAGAGGCACAGTCCGACTCTGTTTGTGTCACACACACAATGTCACAATGTCACGACATGCGCGGGATCTCCATGCGAGGATAGCAGCATCTCGCGCTTTATGATTGCGACATAAAGAGCGATACCTTTATGTGAAAATAAAAATACCTCGCTCTTTATGACGTTCTCGCGCTAGTCGCGCCGTCTTGTGCTAACCCTACTGATCATTATAAATACAAGTTACACAGAGACATAACCAACAGTGGTGCCAGAATATATGTACTCTATATGTTTGAAATAGGAAATTTTAGGCTACTTAATAAAATGTCCGGGGAATTACAAACTTGATTGGGGATTTTGTGGGGAATGGAGTTGTGTGGGGAATTGGGGAAATAAGAGAGTTCATATTCCCCAATTTTCCAGCAGCAAGCAGAATTGTAGAATTGTTTTCCTTGATTTTTAGGGATTTTATGGCTTGGGTGAACATTGGCTACTTAACATACATAGGGTCATATTCCAGAACTGTACTCAATGCTCAAGTCAGGATTTGAGCAGACTTGAGTATGATTTCAAGCACTGGAAATACGACCGTAATGGCAAGGACTTGAGTATGATTTTCAGTGCTCACTGCAATACTCAAGTCCTGACTTGAGTATTGAGTAGAGTTCTGGAATACAACCCTTAAATTGGTGAATTAATTCTGCAAAAGTCAGACAATACAAAAATTATTCAAAACATTTAACGAACCGATCGAGTCTGTAGGCATTCGCCTAACACAAGCATTGTGGTAAGACGCAGCGACCTTGAAACTTTGCTCTACTGCTAATAATGTAACAAAAAATAAATGTAACATTAATAGCAATAGAATTCTTAGTGAAAGAATTGTCCAGGGAAGTACTTCCACCTTACCTATTTCTGCTGGAAAGCAGTAATGTAACCATAACAGCGTTCTGGTTTTAAAAGGTGAAGTAAGGTACACACATAGTGAAATTACAGGCATATATGACTTGTCAACTTATGTCTCAGGGTGACATACGCAGTAGCACTGCCTCTCTCAGATCTTAGCCTTTTTAAACTCTAAGAGGCACTGCAGATGTTACGGACAGGCATGTTGCTCAGCACCAGGCGCGCAACTTGTTTGTCCTGTGACATAATATCATTAAAAACAAATTGGTTTGATCGACCATAGCTTGTATAAGATGATTAACAATCTCCTTTACCTTTTCATTTTGTTTTTTTTTGCATGAGGTGGTCACCTCTAATTAGTTACGCAATTGGAATAAGTTTTTGAAATGTATTAGTACCTACATGAAATATTGTAGTTTTTTCGCAAATGTATTAAAAAACGTCGTTTGATACACGTGCCGATTTGTTATTTTCACTTGTCTCGAGTCTCGTAAATAATGACTAACTTTCAGCACTTGTATCAAAAATAACTATTTCCTATTCACTCCCGTAATGAAAAGGCCCAAGTTATAGCGTTCAGGGAATAGCACTCCATAGCCGTTTGCCATATAAATGTAGAAACGAAACGCTTGGTGCGAACTGAGAACAGCCATTAAATATGTCAATGTAATCAATCATCGGAATTAGACATGGGTAAATCCGGAGTCAAAGATTTAAATGATCCGAATCCGCGAGCGGAATCGATTCCCTTACTGAATCCGATGCAATGTTATCGAATCAGCGGAGTTATTAACTCCGGTCCGGGTCAGTACAGGTTTGGTACGTACATACATTCGGATCGCATATCTTCGGTTCCTTTCGTATTGGTTTGGTTGGTTCGTTTGTTATTGTGCCTTCTTTTCGGTTAGCGGGCGATCGCGAGTGGATGTTAGAGTGAGACGGTATTCGTTAGTTTACATGGCAACGGAATGAAATGAAAGAGACAAATATAATTTTATAGTAAATAAAACACTGCTGCAAATGCAATTTTCTCTCTTGCACGCGCTCATTCGTTCGTAAATATAGTAATAGCTCTTAAGACCATCGCATAAATCATAGCATTGGTTGCTCACACCTTTTTCCAACTACATTGTAATAAATTTGTCGTTGTTTGTTTTGTTTACGTTTAAGCTTTTTGAAACATATTATTTTTTAATATAAACATATTATTATATATTTTAGTTACAATTTGCGAAAATTGAAGTAAAGCGTAACAGTGGGTCTTTGGTTCTATTCAGGTAATCTTCCTGAAGGTACCGGTCTAGTTCGCGTATTCCAGCAGCAGTAGGATTTTCTGGCACGAGATTTGCGATTTCGGCATCGAAGTCAACCCATATTGATTCTTTAGAGGAGGATTCTGTTTGTGAACTCTGTACAGGAGGAACTGGAACTGGGTTGACGCGGGCTGAGTGTATTCCCATTCCCAATTTTAAGTGCTGCAGTTTTGTGTGTTCTCTATTTAAAAGCGATCAATCGTACTAACACGAGAAATTAACTAAAATACCTATAGTAAAATGTTCAATATAAATCATATTTAAATACTGTTTAACGCTGTCAGAAGAAAATAACTCTATCGGTACATTAGAAACTCCATCAATGATTGAACTGTCCGGAGCGATTTATGTTTGAGAGTTGTGAGACTCAATAGGAAGCCGGTACCGATAACGGATTCGGATTCATTAAGCGGAGTCGGTACGACAGCGGAATCGGATTTAGTGATTCGAATCCCTTCTCGGAGTCGAGATTACCCATGTCTAATCGGAATCATCACACAGCTGCTTGTTTATTTTTATATACTTACGTTTAATTTCTGTTCCTGTGCAATTTTTGATTGTAACACATTGTTCTTTTTACACGCTTTCGCTTCCTGTTGAACTTTTTCTACTCTTTCTGTAAAAAGTATCGAAAAATTAAAATGGATTCTGTCGAACATGCAAGCAATAAGTTAAGGTTTTTTACCTAAATATCGCGCATTAAATCCATTGACAATCTCGGCAATTTCTAAATAAAGAGGATCCTCAGTGATATTCATTGTGATTATTGTATAAAAACGACGAAAAAGTAATAAAACAGAGTACACAAACAAGAAAACAAAGTAAACCGACCAGAATTTTCAAATTCTTACAACTGTCATTTATTTCAATCGTGTTACTCAGGGGCGTGCAACTGCCATACATTGAAGAGTTTGATTTTTTGTTTGTTTGTTGCTGCCATCTAACAAACTGACCTCAGAATTAAAAAGACACAGTTGCTTCTATAGAGATATAGATGGCATCACCATTGCATTAAATTGAGGAGAAAACAATTTTCTCAGAAAAAAAACCTGCGTGTAAAGAAACGTAAACGGAAACAGGTGATGCCATACATAAAAATCCCAAAAGTTATCTGACTTGAATGAACGTACCCACTATACGATTTAAATTTTTAAGTTAGAATTTAGAGTCTTGCAGTCTGCTTATTACCATCAAATATAAAATTGCATTTTTAAAATGCTGTAAAACCTTGGAAAGTAATTTTATTCATTGCATTTTTTGACGAATGCGATTGCGTGATTAATAAAATGGTAACACTACGACTTGCTATGAAAAAAGTTTCATCCGCGTTTTCGTACTGTTCATTTTGTGGCGTTATAGTTTCAAAATGTTCAATTGTTGTTTCCTCCTTGAATTACCCTACCTGGCCTGAAATTTGATACTGCTGCTTGCTTCCACATCCGACCCGGCGATCCTAAGGACCTGTGTTTCTGCTTATTGTATCCTACCTGACCTGAAGTTGGACACTGCTACTTGCTTGCATATTCGACCTGGCGCAACTCACGGACTCCGAGACTCCTCCGTACGAAAGTTAAAAAACATGCCAAATAATCCTAAATGCTATTTTGGATGTACGGGTGGCGGTAAGTAATTCTCCATGTTACTCTAAACTGTATCTGAGCATGTAATAGTCTCAAATAAGTTAAAATAAGTAAGACACTGGGCTTGAAATGCTGGTGCAATTAAGAAAGCGGCTCATAAAGAGTCTTTCAAAATAGCGCCTTATAAAAAATATGTTTACTTTTTGTTTTAGGGACTCTGCACCAATTTCACGATTGGGCCAAAGACCGACAAACCGAACGATTTAACAAGTGGAAAACGGTGCTTTTACCAGACACCCAACAAAAAGGCAATGCATACATATTTAATATGATTCGTCTATGTAATAGACATTTTGAAGACTGTTACAAATCCAAGACCAGTCACCGACTAACAAGAAATGCTGTTCCAACATTACATCTAGGTGCACCATATTTTCTTACTACTTTTTTCTTTTAGGGTACATCTTACAACTGATGTGACGATGATTCTTTAAGGCTTTATTTACATAATGTAATAATTTTTTCTAAATAGCTGTTTTCGCTATTCAATATAAATAACTATTTAGAAAAAAAAAGACTCATTGGAATGTAATATCATTTTAAATACCTACCGTGTGACAGTATGTTCAGATTTAATTTTACACAAAGTGCTCTGTCCCGGCAAGACAGAGCTGGTTTGGGGTCGAATGAATTTTCTTTGTGTTTCTATTGTAACTTGGTATAAAATAATATAAAAGTAGTGTAGTATTTTCACAAAAAAGCATATGAAAATCATGGTAGTAAAATTATCAAGATTTTTCAAGAACAACAATATTTGTTGTGAGACCAGTAGTCTGACCATCAATCTGACCAATGGAAAACAATTAGATTTTTCGCCTTGCAGGTTGTTAGGTGTAGATAAAGACAGAAGTGATTAAACATATAACTATTAATAATTCCTTACAGAACAAACTTCTGCACCAACAACATTAAATGT